GTTAAAATTATATATAGAAAATTTATAAAGTTCTCAAAATGACTTTGCAGCACTATCATTTTGTACACTCTTCAAAAGTAAAATTGCAACACCTTAAAGGAATGCACATAGCCACATATATATTGCAGGACTGGCAAAGGTAAGACACATGCAAATGATTAAAAGAACAAACAAAGACATGCAACAGACACCAGTTTATTCAGTAATAAATATGACCCCTATAGACAGCTATATAGTATGGCATACTAATCAATGAGGCGATTAAGATTGCACAAAGTATCCCTTGCCCAGCTGCATCTACTGTGACAAGCATGTTGTCTACGGTATGTGATGATAGTACATGGTGCACCCAACACTAGATAATATCCCACAGATGTTCGGTGCAAGAGATCTGGCAAGGCTGTCAGCCAGGGAAAGACATGAATTCTGTTCAGGCTGTTGAGTTTGCTATGCAACATGCAGTCAGAGATTATCTTGCTGGAACATCTTGTTCAGTACAGCCTGCACTAATGACCAAATCACAGGCCCGACAATTCGTACAACATACTGGTCCACTATCAGAGTACCAAAAATGTGCACCAAGGCTGTCCCCTGATTGAACATGATGCCTCCCCAAACCATGATGCCCAGTTGGAGCCCGTATCATGCTCAGCAAAAAGGGCTGGCTCGTAGCATTCCCCTGCTTCGCCTATCCACAGACAAAAGCAAGATTCATCCATAAAGAATACCTGATGCCATTCAATGGTTCAGTTGCAATGACAACGACACCATGCCAGGTGTGCAGTCCTGTGTTGAATGATTAATGGCATCCTGGTTACTGTGCATGAAGCCTGACTTTGTGCAACCTATTGTGAATGGTTTGGGTAGACACAGATACACCCATTGATAAATCGCTTTGGATGTCATGTGTCGTGGCAAACAGATCCTGACAGGCTGTTCAGCAAATCTGCTGGTCTGTGCACTCTGTTCAATATCATTGTAATCCGCTCTTTGGCATGTTTGCAGATGTTCCTAAGTCCATCGTGTCACACATTGGTCATGACATGAGAACCATCCAGCAATGTATGGTAACTGCACACACTGACATACTGAGGTCATGCAGCTACAAGATACAGTCTCATTCCCAGCCAGTAATTGGTAATATTCAGCTCACTACCATCTCTAAAGCATTTTCTACACTTCTTCAAGAGTTCTGCTGCTGGGAACCATTGTTCATACATAGCATTTATGGCCTGAGAACGTTGCTGGTCTTCATAGCCCCAAACAGGGTACCACGACCTGATGCATACACAAACTTAACCATTTGCATCTCTGTCACCTGTATCGACCTTGCAATTTGCACATGGTTATGTGCATTCCTTCATGATGTTGTGATTTCACTTTTGAAAATGTATATTAAATAATTCATTTTGGAAGCACTTTGGTGTGTTCATCAATGTAAAATTATTCACTTTCTTTTTTTAATCAAACAAAAGTTAGTATCTTTGAATTTAATATTTATTTCATTACACCAACAATGTCTGGAAATCTTAATATTATATTATACTATCGCCTGTACTATCGTTTTTGGTTGTTTAAGTCCTGTTCCTCCTTTCATCTCATATTTTATAAATAATCTTTATATAAACAATTAGAATAGTTTTTTGTAGCAAAATTTTTAAAATGTTCTATGATCGACATTTGTACTAATTGTTGAACTGTTAAAATAAAAAAAATTATACATGATCTGTTTTTAAATGAACTTAAAACAGTATGATTTTATAACTTAATACACAAAAAATAACAGTCTCATTATACACACTAACATTAATACACTATGTATGCAGTGGTGATATTCGAAATATTTAACAAAGGGTTCGCTAACAGAAAATTATTCCTTAACAATTTTTTTTCGCTCAAATGGTGCATCGGAAGGCTCTAGTTTAGTAGTGATACAGAGTATAATACGTATATTTTAATATATTTTTTAAAAGAAACAAAACCACTGAGAAATGTTATATATGTTTAACAAGGTTTGGAAAACTTTGAAAATGTTAACAACGGGTTCGGCCAAACCTGTGCGAACCCGCTGAATATCACCACTGTATGTATGTTCATGCAAGGTTTAAAAAAAACATACAAAATTAATCTGTAAATAAAACAATGAAATAACATCAACAAATAGCACTTGTATAATATTAATGTAAATAATACATAAGTAAATTTCAGTTACTTTTAAAACCTATATTAGTAACATGGCATCTATAGAATGCCACATAAATTTTTCAAAAGTCAAATTTCTCATGAAATTTTGAAAAACGTAAAAAAATCAATACCTTCTTAACTTTGAGTTGCAGAAAATGCAATAAATACACTCTGCACTATATGCACAGTTTTGAAGAAAAAAAATATACAAGTTCAATCTAATTACCTCCGTTATTAGATTCGACAGATTCCTTATGCCCTCTAAATGCCAATTCTCGCTTTGAGAAAAAAACATATTATATCTAAATTAATAGATGTTATATATCTATTAGCCGTAACTATCTTGTTATAATTTTCAATATTTATTTTATATTATTTACTAATGTTAAATTCTATTCTCCTTTAATTTCCAAATTGCTTCAATTTTTCGAAAGAATCGATGTGATATTTACGATTTTCGTGTCTTTTGCCAGCTTTACTCAAATTTTTTAGATCTTCAAAGCCATTCTTATTCCACACACACTAATTTTATTTGAAAACTAGCTGTTACCCGCAACTTTGCCCGTGCAAATTTTGCAAGCAAACCCCATTTATATACAGCATTTTAACAACCATAGTAATTGTTATGTAACACCTACCACTGAGAATCAAACTGTTTTCAATTTGATCAATTTTCTGGAACGTTTACAATCGTTCTATAATCGAACCAATATGCAATAACAAATTCAATTTTAAAACAGTTCGAACATTTGGTTAAAAAATCAAAATATATAAAAATATTTATAACAATGTCTGAAATGTTGTCAATTTAATACACCTAAGTACTCGACGATAACTAAATGTAGTTGAAAACAATAAATCGCATCTAAAATAGTACGGTAGAAGCCGTTCTTCGGGTTAAGCCTTAATCCTCTCCCTCTCCCCCAGGGAGGAATTTCGAGTGTGAGGTTTCATTATGTATCCTAACTACGTACCAAATTTCACCTCTAGGTTCAGCGGTTTGCTCTGGGCGATGATAAATCAGTCAGTCAGGACAAGTAATTTTATATACTTAGATAGTAGGCAAGGCCAACAAAACAATTCTTGCATTTTTATGCATCCACAATGTCATTTTATGTCTTCATGAATTTTATCGTGAAAATGTCAAACAAATTTTTTTATTGAAGTGTTTATATTTAACTTAGGCATTGGCCTTTCTCTTTTAATAATGCTTTCTTTTTCATTATACGATCTCGAGCCAAAACTTTTTTTAAAATAAATTTTCAATATCGCTGTAACTAGCCTTTTATGCACCCGGTGCGAGCTTCTGTAACTAGACCCAAAACTTGGTCCAGGTCATTTCTGCACCCCCTAGGGTCTGCGCCCTGTGCCTTGGCACCACCCTAGTTACGGCACTGGATATAAGGGCTAAAATTAAAAATAAAATCATAAAAAACTTACTTGGTATAAAATGTGCTATGGATATACATACTTGGTACAAAATATTCAATTGTATGAATATACTTTTAAAGAAAATTATAATTAAATATAGTTTTGTAAAGAAACGTACATAAAAATAACATAAAATATTCTTTACTTTTTAAATATTAAAACGATCCACTTAGTTAAAATAGCTCCCTACCAGTGGCTAATGAATGGAATCGGAGACTTCCTGGTAGGTGTGTGGTGCATGCATTCACGCGGGCTGCCAAATCCCGAGGGTGCCGAAATCGGTTAATGTCAAACGTCTCTTTTGTCGCATCCCTAGTATATCTCAAAGGATGCGACAAGTTGTTGTAAATTTTAAACGTTTCTCGCCATAGCTATAAACATTTACATATGTTAAACTTAATAGTCATTTGTTTTCTAACTAATTCGTTTTAGGACCGGATGTCCACAGAAATTTCCAACTTTTCGGTCACTCTCGTCGAACTGGAAAAATTTCTGTCTTTATTACATTAATATTACGAAGAAATCAGGCCCCACTGTACTCGGCTAGTGATTGGTTCGGTTAAGCTTTTGTTTAAGTAAAATTTCGGCTCTTTTGTCGGGGTTTTATTTAGGTCCTAATTCTCTCATCTTTTGATTATTTAACTACTACTTAAGTAGAAATAAGTCGAAACCGGTTACTTTGTACTCGAATATTTGTAGTCTTGGGAAAGAAATTTTTATGACAACGGATATGTAAATCGTAAATTTAAGGAAAAAAATTCTAGAGCTCTTTTTGTACCTTGTGCGTATCATTCATTAAATTTGGTTGTAAATGACGCTGCCAAAGAAACAGTTCCATTTTTTAACATCGTACAAGAATGTACACGCTTTTTTCTACATCCCCTCATAGATGGAACATGTGAAATCGTAATATCACCGTTTAACATTGAAATCCGTAATACAAGATGAGAGAGCGAAATAAAAATATAAAATATNTAGACAACCACTTTCAGCCTCATATCTCCCGCACCCTTATAGCTATCGAGACGCAACCATCCCTATGCACGAATGGAGACTTGGGCCTACCACCACATACAAACACCATTCACGTGCGATCTGTAGTTTTGGTGGAAAAGTGAAATATAGGAACATACATGTCCATTTATATATATATAGATATAGATTATATGTACAGTATCTAATTTATATATAATACTGTACGGACGATAGTAAACTCAATTTACCCACCTAAACTTTCCGTAGCGTGGCGCTGGATAGCGGAAAGTAGTTCGGCTGCTCGTCCGCGATGACAAGTTGGCGATGATGTTTTACCGCGTCCCTTCTAGCGTCTTTATACGAATATTGTCGCAATTTTTCGCCGCGTTATAGGAATCTACGTTATAGGGGTCTACTGTATTGGTAAAATATATATAAATATAGTTAAGACTTAAATTATTTCCGACTTAGAATGTCAAACAAAAGCGGTTCTTCCAAAACAAATTCCTTCCAAGAACTTTTATACTTCCGTTTTAATGTATAATGTAGGCAATGTATTTTTAATTTTATCTAATTGTCATCTTTATTTTTACGCGTATTTGCTGTTATTGTTGTTTGTTAGGTTATGGCAATGCAACACTTGAGCGATCTGCCTAGGGGATGCTTTCCGTGAGGTTTTTAAGGGAAACTGGCCCCTATTTAGGCGTTACAGACGTGGAGAAAACACGGAAAACTCCACGTCCGAGCGAGGCGCGAACCTGCGACCAAACTCCGTGTTCAGAGTACGAAGACCGCTTGGCCACTGGTAGGCTGGTATTTGCTAATTTTGAGGGTAGACATTGACCGTTCTTCGGTACTTTTTTATTTACTTGTAAAAATAAGTAAATAAATAAAGTACGTAACATGCTTAAATTTGTTAATTAAAAAGATCGTTCTTTTAACTGGTTTATTAAAAGATAATTTAATTTAGCGAGTAGATCAATAGAAAAGAATGATGATTTTAACAAAGAAACGAATAAGAACTTTTCTCTACTATTCGCCTCTTATTTTGTCGCCCGGCTGACAGTGTCCCTTTTAAAGCTACTCGTAGCACCCTCCTGTATTTTGAGAGTTTACAACAATCCTTAGCTTCCTGTCTTGACTGCTGGCATTTTGCAACCAACGAAACATTTCTCTCCTGCAGACTTTTTTACTTGTTTTAAACACCTCATCATGCATCCCTTCTTTTCGCTCCTGTACCGACAAATATTTTGCAAGTTCTGATATCCCACTTACAATTTGTTCTCTGTGAAGTTCTAGTTTTTGGCTTTTCTTTTGATTTAGTCGATGTTGTTGCCTGTGACACTCCATTGAAATATATGACGCCTGACGCGTATAGAAGTTTCGGCTGTCACCGTAACTTCTGGATGTAGACCGGACCCTACCCTAAGTCCTATTTGGATACCGTATAGATTATGTGGATACCTCCGACGTTCCTCTCCTTAAGACTGCGAGTAGCCAATGCGTGGAATGATCGTTAAGCCCGACTGGAATTCGAACTCAGAATCGTTCTCTTACACCCTCTTGCATTTGTATGGCCATCGAGAGAAATCCCTTGCAAGCAACACAGATAAGACAAATACTTATAGATATATTTTTTTTATTGAGTCTCACTCGTGAATTTTAGGCAATAGTGCACCGTTCGGCCGCTCGATTCGTGTGGCCTCCGAAAGCTCTCGACGGCAGTTCTGCCAGAAACTCATAAGGGCTCCTGGCGTGTGGCTAGAAAGCCCTCTCTGCCGAGCAAACTGTCCCGGGCCCCTATAAGAAAAAGAGCCGTTTTCCGTTCTGGTGGTTCCGAATGAGGATTCCTACTGCCTCCCTTACCTCAGAGCAGAGGTAATCTCCTCATCTGGGTTTTCCCAGAAAATATGAGCCTACACCAGTGCACAACCGAGCTGCCCGGCAGTGCCTCGCACGTTTATGTACAGAGAGACGTAAATGATGCACCGTGCCACGCACGACGTAAGCAGTGGAGGCACGAGTGTCGGAACGGTGCACGGACGCGATTTTTGGCTCTCCCGCCGAGACGGGAGAATTCTTCGGTAAGTTAGTTGGGTAACGGGAAGCGGAACGAAGTTTTAATAATCTTAAACAAAAGTCCGATAACGATTTACACGAATAACGGGAATATATTATGAGTCCGGCTGGCCTGGTTTACAGAAGGGCACCTTCCCCCAGTTCCTTCGTCCGTCGGCCTTCGTCCCAGGCACCCTTCTGCAGTCACGTGATGAAAGTCGAGCGATCCGTTCTTCCGCCGGATCAGTGGGACGTCTTCGGGCCACCAAGTCCGTCTGCGTCCCGCGCGGACGTGGCCAAGGTTCCCCCGACCCTGGTCAAACGTCTCTAACCTGGGTCACTGATCACTGTAAAAGCCGATTTCGGTCCCGTTGCCTCCAATATCACCTCCGCCTGAAAAGACAATACGTATTACTCTTTTGTCAATAACAAAAGCCAAGTGCAATCTTAACAATTAAAGCGAGGCTTCACAAGTGTAAAACATGACAAAAATACTTCGGTACAAAAAAGTTGTGTACACACGCTCGATATCATGTTGTTCACTCATAAGTAGAGATGCTGATCGTCTATACAAAAACCCCTGCATGTAATTAGATAACAGAGCTAAATATTCCTGGCATTCTTTTAATCAAAGCAAAAGTGATGTATTCTTATTTATACTAAAAACAATCTGATATTGCACACACATACATCATGTTTAAGCCAAACAAGACACGCTTCGTAGCTATACTGCAGTGGCGTGACGTGACATTTGATGACAGGAAAGCTGTGTTTCTGTAAGAAGCCGACTTCCAGGGGCATTCGGTTAATTGCGCGTCAGTGATGGTCTAGACTCTAGAGCCCATTCGTATTCGTTTGTTCGATAAGCCAGTAAAAACCATAGCCTTCTCTAAATGTATTTTTAATAGATTATCCGACATACTTAATAAATATACAAGTTCAATGTAATTACTTCAGTTAGACTCGACAGATTCCTTATGCCCTCTAAATGCCAATTCTCGCTTTGAGAAAAAAACATATTATATCTAAATTAATAGATGTTATATATCTATTAGCCGTAACTATCTTGTTATAATTTTCAATATTTATNAATGTAATCACCATTATTCAATTCTTAAAGAGGAAGAAAGCAATGTATTTGATAATTATTTGAATAATTTTTAAGTGCATTAATTAATTTTGATGTTAAATCATGGTTTATTTGTGTAATTAAAGTTTTGTTTTTGTGCATTTTGGTTCATTGTCACTGAGAATGTGGCTGATTTCTAAAGGTTATGTTCACTAATTAAGGTTTAAGCAACAGTTTTAAAAACTTAAAACTGTTTTATATGATAGATTATAGTTTTAATTTATTGTATATATAGTTTAAATTGCAACTGATGTGTTTTATAATCTTAAAAAAATAGAATAAACTTACCTACAATCAAAATTAAACCTCTCCACTCCAAGGAATGCACTTTTTTGTCAAAGCTACTTAAACGCCACCTGTCGCTTTCGTAATATGTTGCCATAGCAACGGAAGAGTCGATTTGTTACTCGGAAACTGTCGTCACCGAATATCACCCTTTTGTTAATAATAATACATTACTTCCCTAAATAATTAGGAAATTTCCTTGTTTACTTAAAATAAAATTTTTATTTTAATTAATTGAAAGCATGAAAATAATCACACAATATGTATTTATATTTTAGAAAATACTAGGGAAGTGGTGCTTCCACTGCTTCCAAGGATAACACACCACTGGTTCCCATAGTGATTTGTATTAATGCAAGTTGAAGTTGACTGTATTATGAGAATTTTAAGTTACAAAGCTTGAAGAACTGATGTAACTTATAATGAGCAAAAAATGACACAAGGAAATTTTGGAACTTTTACAATGATATACTATATTTCTACTATATTGAATTAGTACCCAGGCACTGTAAAGAGTCAAATCTGAACATTACTTTTATTTTCAGGGTTTTTATTTGATTATTATTATTATCTATTTTGGGATGCTTAATTTGTTTCAATAACAAAACTCCACACCTCCCCAGACAAAAATTCAAAAATGATGTTTATATCCTTACTGTGAACATGATTGACATCCGTAACGTCAACATTGTCGATCTAACAAGGCATCTCAAGCAATCTCTGAGTAAAGTTAAAGAACTGTCTCTTAATCTCTTAATTCTTTCGTATTGATCTTAAAAACTAAACCATTTTTTTTTGTTTGGAAAGACAATTATAACCAAAAACAAATTATGTAGAAAAAAAAAAATAATTGTTAGTTAATAAGTATGAAAATGAGTTAGAGTGGTAAGCTAATTGTGACATCACACCATGACGTATAAAAACTTCCAAATGACAATGAAGGTGACGAGGTAAAGCTTCTGAGTCCAAGTGAAGAAGAGTTGCAGTGTGTGACAATAAGGTTTCCTGGCATTTTTGGTGCAATGGTTAGGCAGCTTAGATCATCGTAAGAATTTTCTTTTTGTTATTATTAGAATTTTTCTTTAAATTGTCAGTTTTTGTGGAGAGATAAATTTAAATTAGAGTTAAGTTCCCCAATTCTTGGGAAAGTTTGTGAACAATTGTTTTGGTTTTGTTTTTGATTTGGATTAATTATAGTTCTGAATTTTATAATTTTTGTATAGCTCATTATCATTAGTGATGGGATGATACCAAAATTTCTCCTGATTCCAATTCTGTTGAAAACTCCTGTTTCTGATTGTTTTAAATACTTTTTAAAAATTATTTTAGTTTAGAAAAATTAATAATTTACATTATGAGTAGGGTACATTCATTAATTAATAAACATCAAGCTTAAGAATGGAAGATGATTAAAAAATTCAGAATCATCTTCTGAAAGAAACCCAAAAATCCTCCCTTTATATGTGGATATGCACACTTTATAAATTTATTTTGTAGTATACAATAAATCTTATTTCATTCAAGTTAATATTGCAACATTAACCCCCAAAGAAATTATAACTAACTCCCTTTGAATTGATTTATCCTGTCATGCCATCTAGGTCACCATCTTTGGGAACTGCTTTGTTAGCCAATAAAATGACTGGAGAGGGGGAAGGTAAATGAGAAGATGCACTTCTTTTTAATGCTTCTCAGAATTAAAGCATTTACAATGCATGCTGATTGCATCATATTTAACAATAAATGAGGTTCGGCAAATGATGCAACAAGCTCAACAATCATCATCATCATGAGTTAACCAAGTTTTGAATTCATTTACTTGAACCAAGTTTTCCTGAATGTACAATTGTGTGAACTTTTTTGAGGAAAAGAAGAATCAAACAAATGCCTAAACTGATTCCTCTTGAAAAATTAAGTTTTAAAATTCAAAATGGCAATAAACATAGTGTGAACAATTATTTTTACTTAGAACACAAATTGCATTTGAAAATTTAACATATTACAGCATCATCTGTCAATCATAAAAATTTTTATAGTGAAAATGGGAAAGTTGTTTTATCATTAAAAAATACTTCTATATAGACAAACTAATTTAGCTTGAACACAGTAAATACTTTTTTAGCAATATTTTAATTTATTTACATGAAAATAAACTGTGTTCTTAAACAGTTCAAATCTTCTTGTTAAATCTGACACAGATATATGAAAAAGGGTCAAAAATGTTTATTTAAATAAATTAAAGTGTTGCTGAAAAAAGTATTTAAGGTGTTGTTCAAGAGTTTTATCATTATAAGTAAACATGCTAAATATTAAAAATAATTTTATGCAATATTTTTCAATTAAAATATAAGTTTGTTTATATTTTAAACTGTTTTGCCCACACTTAAATATTTATGTTAACCACCAGTCTCATTTTGAAATTGCTGGCCAAACCAACCTGATACTGGATGAATGGCAACCATAATATCACCTCATCTCCCCTAAACAGGGACATTTAGTACCAAGTGTAATCTCTCATCAGAGTCTGACTACACAAAGAGAAGTCCACTGTGATAAGCATCATCTTGTGTATGGGGTGTTGTGTTCTCTCTGCTTTGTCAAACATGAAAGTTTCCACTAAACTAATACTTAATTGTTAATATTGTGATTTAAAAAATTTTTAATCTTCAACTGAAACAAATAATTCATTTTCTTATTTAATGTGAAAGAATAATTTTAAGAATCAGAAATTGTGGCCAGATTCACATTCTGATTAATTGTTCCATCATTTTCGCATTAATGCATTCTCATGTTTTTTTTTTAATTATTAATCTCCTGTAAATAGTTCATTTTCTTGTAATAAGTTTTGCTTTCCATTAAACCAACAACTTGACACCTAAATGTGAATTCCAGCATTAATGAACAAATAAAATTTAATCTTCAAATGTTTTCAGCCATCTTCCAGAGAACATTAAATTTTATTTGTTCATTAATGCTGGAATTCACATTTAGGTGTCAAGTTGTTGGTTTAGTATATAGTTTCAGTTTAAGTGTGCCAGCTTTTTTTTTTTTTTCCTTTTCGTTGATGCATAGTTAATTAATTTGAGGTTTTTGTTACACTAATTGTGTTTCAAAACAATCCATTTGTGTTATTTTACCTATTCAAAAGTCCCGGCTGGCAAATGACTGACCCTAAGTATTTCATTATTAATGCAATAATGTTACATTAATAATTTCTGGGCTTTCGAATACTGCATTACTTGATACAGTGTAAACAGTGTGGTTATTCATTCATTCTTTTGGGTCAAAATTCCAGGTGCTTATTCAAAGCCAGCAACTATTTGAAGCTTGGAATTTAACATTGACTGTTGATTACTTTGACTACTGTATTTTGTTTTAGTCCAATAATACATTTGGGGGTTAGCTTTCAGTCAAGGAAAACAAGAAAATACTTCAGGTCCCTATTGTTAAATTATAAAAGATCCTAGTATTTTTATTATTACCATTAAGTTAACAATAATTATTGTTTTCTTCAACTTACTATTTGATTTTCTCAATAGTTTAATCACTATCTGAATCACTTATGCACAGTTCATTGTTCTACTGTTCCTTCTCATCTGGTATTGTTGATTTACTATGTCTGATCTCCATGACTCTAAAGTTCTACACACACAGGCAGGCTATTTCATTCTTCAATAACTCATAAGATTGTTGACACCTTTCAAAATGTAGAAAAATTTATTTTTAGCATGCTCCACTATAGTAGTGAAGTGCTTATGTTAGGACTTTTGTGTTTCTGTCATACATTATATATTCGAGATTATGATCCATTCAATCCATTCATTGCTCATGTGCAAAAGGGAACTGAACATTTTCATTTAAGGTCGCTGTAAGCTATAGTAAAAACTACCCAGTTCCTCTCGAATCTATAAACCACATCCCTTACTGTATATTCAGTGAAAAATTCTTCTGAACAACTACTTGATTAAAATAAATTTTATAAATTCTTGGAAACAAAATTAATATTTGATTTGCTTTTGTGAAGCATGCTATCAAATTGGCTTCAACAATCTTGTTTGAGTTATCAGAACTATTGGAGTTCATGCAGGTTTTAAAGAAATGCTTGAGGTCTTCAAAAATCAAATTCCATGCCTTCTTCATCCAGTAAACAACTTGTTTGCATTCAACATGACATTGGTTTCCAGTGTGTGTGTAAGATTTCTTGCTATGCAGCATCCACTTCTCATACTATTCAAAAGAGCAATTCTTGAAAAGTCAATTCCAGTAAACATCTAGGTGTTGGGTGACACTAGATCCCCTGGAATGATACCATGATTGTTCATGTTCATTAGTTCAGCTGTTGTAGAAGGCACAACCTTGCACTTATAAACATCCAAATCAGCAATCATCACTGAAATGCTAATCAACCCCAGATTATATGCAGCCACAGTTCCTTGTTTGTCAAACTGCTTTTGAGCATAATTTTGAGTGCTTTGAACTTTATAAGTTCTTTATCTTCATAAACACTGGTGAAGACAATGGAAGGTAAAAACTTCCTTCTGTTGGTTTCCATATAACATGAATATGAATCAAGATTTTTTACACGTTATTTGAATCAGAACAAAACAAAAGCCAACACACTCAAGTATCATCATCAGTGATGTTCATACAACAAGCAGTCTTATCTATCACTCTAACTATGCTCAGTTTTTATTTCATTTTTTATAATAAGAGACTAAACAAACTTTTCTTACTTGTCTTGAACTTATGGAATAATTTTTGGCCTACAGTCATCCAGTAAAATGGGGAGATGACTTTTCTTCCCAAAATATTTTGCAACCAACCACAATTGGCTTCAAGATTTACATAGTCAAATTGAATAGTTCAACAGTTGAATTATCTGGCTTCTTCCATCATAACCATTTTCCTCAAGTCAGAAAGATGTTTGCTTTGCAAGTCATCTATTCAGTCCCCTATTTTCTCCTCTTTCCTATTCTTTTTCATAAAATCTACCACTTCCAGTTTAAAACTGATTTTATAGCTACAAACCATTTTACCTTCATGACTAAAAGTAGGGGTATCCACATTAGTATTAGAGAGGTTGAGGCGCACGTTTTAAACGTGTAAACGTGTACGTGTGACGTTCGGCGCCGCTTTCCAGTAAGCCTAAAAGTTTGACGATGGTGTTTGGAATGTCGAGTGTGATTCCACCGACTATCCAAACACCATTGTCAAACTTTTAGGCTTACGGGAAAGCGGCGCCGAACGTCACACATACACGTTTACACGTTTAAAACGTGCGCCTCAACCTCTCTATAAAATGATAAACTTCAGCATATACTTCTAGCAAACATTGTTAGAAGATTGCCATTTTTAGCCACTATCTGGAGAGATTATTGTAAGGCAGAAAAGAAACTGCCAATGTTTTGGAAGTGCTCGTCTCTAAAAAGCCTTTTCATTTTTGTGAAAAAGTCAAAGGTCAGTTTCTTCATGTGATTATGGTAGATGTTCTAGTTTCTGTCATCTGCTTCACAAATGTCCTGACTTGGGAGAAAGAATGGTTGTATGTATTGTTGTGCAAGACAAGTAGATGTAATTGCAGCAAATATAACCTTTTATAACCAAATATAACCAACGATTCATCGTTGTCCTCAAGCAATCAAGGAAGTGGCAGTAGCGTCTAGCATTAACAGTCTGCCGTGATAGAAAATAAGACAAGAAGACTGCTTGGAAATTGTATACAGTAATCATTAATGCTTCTACTTTACTCAGTTCTTGCAGCTCTGGATGACCTCTAGTGGTTGGATTAGCCACTTGTTCAATTGGTATTTCAGCTCCAGTACATACTGTATACCACTTGGTCCATGATTCATCAATTGCAATAATTGAATAAAGGAAGGATTCTCCTCCATGTTTGTAACAATAAATGAATTTAAACAGCTTCTGTCACATCATTCAAGGCATATGACACTCACCTTGTATCAATTTTGTTCATTTTTAGGCTTTTTCATCAAAATATGGTAAACACCAGAAGCTTCAAATGTTTACTTTGACACTAATTTCTTGGTAAGTCCATTCATAATCATTCTCCAATAACCTCAAAATGACGTCAACATGCTGTTTGTGTGTTGCAGTGATTGTATGGCAAAATTATGCATGGTGGCATAATTTTGGTATTGTTTTGTCCTCAGCAAAAGACTGGACTTGTTGAGGAACAGTGCAATATGGCAGCATAGCATAACCATATGCTTCATGCAAATCTTTGTGACATTGCCATGTATTTTGTACACATATAATTTTAATGTTGATGAAATACTGTTGTTATTGGCAAGTAAATATCACTGAGAACAGTAAAATACACATGTAAATGTTTGATACTTTCCTATTTTTAGCCACAAATGCATGCAAAACAAAAATGCACCAATGCATACACAAATAGTCAAGAAAATATATTTGGCGGTCTTTTGGAAATTTGCTACTTTGTGACTAATTTCCAACAACTTTGTCATTTTAAAAAAATAGCCCCGTTATTTATATTTAAAAATTTTTCAAAATCATCATCACTATTATTATTACTATGTTCAAACAAATACTAATTTCAAGTATTCAAAATCCACTCTAGACACATGTAACTTGAACAAAATACAAATTAAATCTATTAAATATTTCTCTAAAACAAACTTTAGTTTGATATTAAAATTTCAAATATTTTGTTCAGATTATGTATGTCAAGAATGTGATAATGACAATGATAGTGATAAAAAATTTAAATAGATATATTATCTAAATTAAGATGGTCCAAAATTTTACAGACATTCTTTAAACAACCCTCTTTATAAGAAAAACTTATGTACTAAATCAAAATAAATTTTACTTACTATTTCCCAGAAATCCAACAATCTGATAAAAATTGAAACTTTGTTTGTCTGTATCAACTTCTTTCCAGTGTAGAGGCTGTCCAGATTTCAATAATACTAATTTACTACCAGGACTAGATGTAATATTTCGACCCTGTATAAGACTATCATCATTTGATAAAAATACAATTGATGATGGACTGGAGGAACTATCAAATGGCTGCTGATTGTCTCTCTCAATTTCTTCAACAGTATCTGTAACTGAACTACAAGAGTATTCTAGTGATTTAGCACCCTCATTTTCATGTGATTTCTTAGAAGAGGTAGAGAGATTGATAGCTTTTTCTTTGATAAAATGATTTGAATGAGTAATCGTATGACTACCATTACTGAGATGTAGTAACTCCTCTAAGTCTATACCAAAACTAACACCACAAGCATTTTCTGCTGGCAGATAATTATCCATTATAATGACTGGTGGACGGTTTTGTCTGCCACCGAAACATACCTGTTCATTTCCTGCATGTCTTTCATTATTTCTGGGATTATTGAAGTTTTCACTGTCAATTAATTTGGATTTTGAAAGTAGTTTTTCACTTTCAGCTAAGCTAAAAGCAGCAGATTTTTCATTACTTTTTAATTTTGAATTGTCTAATGCTGCATCAAATTTAGTGACTGAATTTAGACATTGTTCAGTATTTGTTGAAACAATTTCTTGATGCATATTAATAGAAAAACTTTCAATGCAAACTTCTGATAAAGAAATTTTCTTAGAATGTTGTTTTGACTCTGTTTCTTTCTGAAAAAACTTTTTTTTTTGATTAATTTCATTAGACAAGCAATGTTTGTTGTAATTAGTAGCATCATTCATTAATTTAACTTCTTTAACATTGTGTATATCTGAATTAAACAAATGAAGATTATGCTGCATGCAGTCATCTGTTTCAGTAATTTCAAAATCAGAATTAAGTTTATCAGATATTTTCTGACTAGTTATACATTCTCTTTCATTATCAAGTTTATCTAGTTTTGATAATTTACAAAAATCATCCAAATCACTTTTAGAATTTGATGAAACAATTAATTCCAGTGATTCCTCATTGTTGTGACTTCCATTAGAATCATTCACAAATTGAATATTCTCACAATTTGCCGATGTATTAGTATTTGGACAGTTTGGCAGTGAAAACTGATTATTATTATTTCCATCTTTCTCCTGAAAATTTGTTGAATCAAAAGTTTCATGTAAGAAATTAACTGGACTTATATTTTTATCAATACACGAAGAAAAAGTTGCTCCATATAAATTACTGCAATATACTTTTGAAGTTGGAGCAATAGACATACGAGCAATATCTGCATAGGATGCTTGTGGTGTAGAAGAAGTAGAAGGTGGTGTTGTATGAGGATGTGGGCGTGTCGGAGGAGGCACAGATCCACTAACAGGCAAAGAATGCACACTATCTAAATCTGAATTATCCGCAGACGAATGTTCCGATGGCGGAACACTACTGGTCGATTTACGTCTTGCACAGTCTTGTTTACTGCGTTGACTATGATGAGATAATGGTAAACCTCTTAATAACATAATATCATCTTTATGACTCGTTTGTTTTGTCACAAAATACTGATGTCCACTGTTATAATTAGCAGCTGAAGAACCATTATAAAATCTGCTCGAATCTGCTTTCTTTAAGGGATAACGTTTACGATGTTTTTTAAGTACCACTCTAAATTCAGATTCTTCTAATTTTTGATGTCCAGAAATTTCACAATTTTCAGCTGAGATTTTTGATGACTTATTTTCTATAGTTTGATTGGAAATTGACACAGAACTCTCTGAAACTATTAAATGTTGATTAGATTCAGTTTCTACAGGTAATGAAACTTCTACAGATTTTTCTTCTGCATTTAAGAAAGTATCACTATTATGATTCCATTCTGATATTTCAGAAGAATTTTCTTTAATAGGTCTATCACTGCATATTGGAATGTATTTATCATCAGACTCACTATCTTGAATTTCATTTTTATCTTGGTATTCTTCTTCCTCTGAGTTAATGTGATTTGATTTCTTTTTATTGCAACTCTGATAATGTTTCATTCTATCTTTCACAGGAAGCTTTTCTTTCTTCTTTTCTATTTCATTAGTCATAAAGTGTTTACCTCCTGAGCTACAAACCTGATTGGAAGTTGTTCCATTTGTTTTTGTAGTTTTAGCTTTATGATCTGAGGAATTTATAAATTCAAGAAGAGAATCTATGTCTTCCTCTCCTCTGTGACCAGCTATATTTTCTGCCATAATAAATTTTTGATTGTCAATATTATTTCTATTTCGCTTTCCCTTGCGAAGAGCTAAATCAGATTTAGATGAATGATTTTCAGAATGGAAGTTTCCTCCAGATGAATAACAGTCAAATGTAGAACCTGGAAGCACTGCTGTTATACCATATGGAACTTTTGAACCAGTATGATACTTAGGATTTCCATTTATATCCATTGAACAAAACTGCCTAGTATCATCTAATAAAAAAAAATTATAATTCAGCAAGCTTAAAAATTATTTTAACATAATATAAGATTATTAGAGATAAAAAGCACACATTATTATTAATTATTTTAAGACTTAACAAAATATTTAAAAAATATAAATAGTTACTTCCAAAATAAACTTACTCTATACTAAAAATGAATAAATTTCAGTCAAAATAAAATTTCTTGAGTTTTTAATTAATATATTTCAAACAATAATTAGTTTTTTTTTAACCTCTACAGATAATTTATATCTATATCTATATATAAAAACGGACATGTATGTCCCTATATCTCACTTTTTTGCCAAAACTACACATCGCACGTGAATGGTGTTTGTATGTGGTGGTAGCCCGAAGTCTCCATTCGTGCATAGGGGTGGTTGCGTCTCGATAGCTATAAAGGTGCAGGAGATATGAGGCTAAAAGTGGTTGAAAGTGGCTTTCTATTTCAAATGTTTTGTTTGATTTTTTCGAATTTGTTCAAATTAAATTTGAACATAAAATTCGAATTGGTTCGATTATAGAACGATTGAAAACGTTCCAGAAACGAATTGTTCGTTTGACTAAACGTAAAAATTCTCTAATTAGTCTGGAAACGGGGGACCTAATTCTTGCATTTTGTGAAAACAGGTAAGATTAGCTATAATGTAATTATCTTAATCTTCACTATCATTACTTTTTGCCCAGTGAAGCGAGTCCTTGCAGCTAGATTCTAGATTACTTAGAAAAACAGTCTTTTATATATATAAAAAAAATATGCTATTACATACAAATAAAAACCCAGCAAAGCGAAATCTTGCAGCTAGTTATTAATATAATTTTCTGCAGATAACCTGCATGCAAAGATGTAAGCAATTTGTGTTTAACCCAGAAGTGCAGTACCCAATTGGAGAAAAATACTAAGTTAAACTCCATACCTAATGTTTCCATATAAGATCAGATAATGAACACACACGTTAAAATCCTTTTAATAACAAAAGTACTATCAATGATACAAAATCATTGTCATCAAACAAACATCTGGATTTTGAACATAATTCCTCTACATGCAATATAAAATTTTAACATTTAAGACATTTTAATGAAATTCAAGGCTCACTAGTGCAAGCAAACGAACAAAATCACAATTTGAAATGATAAACACAACAAAAACTGGCAAAATATTTTTTATTGCATGCTCATTCTCACTAATACCCTGCTCCTCAAAAACAGTTTTACTATATAACAGATTCTAGATATATAGGAGGCATTCTTATTCATAACTGAACCCAATTTGATTTAATGATGCCATCTATTTACAAAAACAGAGGGTCCTTATAGGCTCCCTCTATTTTCTACCTTGGCAGAGTTGATCATGAGAGAAGTGGAATTTAAAATATTTACTTCCCACTCACTATCTGCTACTTTCTACCATACTTGTGTTATGCAGATGATATTCTTATTATGGGAAGGGACAGACCAGAAGCTGTTGCACTTTGTACATCATTTGTTTGCCATTTACTCCTCTACTTTCTTTTCCACAGAAGAGGAGATGGACACAAAAATAGCATTCTCAAATCTGTATATACATAGATAAAGAAAAACTCCTTTATTCAGTATACCATGAATGAAGCTATTTCTCACATTATCCCAGCAACAATCACTTTGTGCTATATCAATTGGAGAATTTCCTTTCTCATTATGACTTTTTTACTTCCATCAACTCAAGTTATGTAACATCCACATGGCCTTATGCAAAGCAGAATATTCACCTGCTAAGTTTTCCTGTGCTTACCATAATTAAAAATTTGCTGCTTCTGTACACTATCTTATATTCTAAAAAAAAGTTGACCTTGAGACAACCACCAATTCCATACTTTGGTCCCTCTCAGGAAAGGGCCAAAGGGCCCTGGCACCTCCAAAGAAAAAGGAAAATAAACACTAGAAAATTTTCCAAAAATCTTTTCCTAATTAAATTCATTCTTGTTATTTATATTGTGTTGTGTCTTCTATTTTTATACTACTTATGAATTGTTGGTCACATAAGATGGAAATTGTATTGAATTTGCATTAAAAAATTTTTTTATCCATTTAACTTGGTTCCACCCAAAATTAAATCCCGAGTGCACCACTGCCTCTCAATATGTATTTGTCACATTTTCATTGTCTCCTCCTGCTTTTTCCCATGCAGGCTTTATGCAGGCTTATTTGTAATGATAGGGACAAGTTCACCCTTCTTGAAAAATCTAGAGTCTATGCTGTATCACTATCAGACCCAACAACTAGACAAAATGGATGGTACATCAGCACTACTGCCAGAGTGCTAGTGAGCAACTTAGCAAAGCACCAAGAAACTATAGCAAAACGTAGATGTTCCACATAGCTAGCCAAAAATGTAATAATCTAATTTTAACCTTTTGTGAACCCAAATCACCTTCCTGAAGCATTGTGCCAATCACTGGTTTTTTAGTGTATTTAATACCCTACGATCCAGCAGTTTGTAAGCTTAACTTTTACTTTCTAAACAAAAACGTATTAGTTATTTGAGAATTCCTTATCATTTCTCCCTTGTGCCTATGAAATAAACCTACACTTAAGCTTCCTAGCTTGTGGGTCTCACTTTTTAAACTTCTCAGCCACAAATTCATGTGATCCTAACCATCTACATATTCATTTACCATGGGCTCATACAACTGAAAATATTTTGCCAGTTTTATTGTGCTTATCATTTCAAATTGCTATCATTTCAAGTTCCTTTTCTTGTACTTGTAAGCCTTGAATTCCATTAAAATGTTTAAATATTAAAATTTTATACTGCACTTAAAGAAATTCTGTTCCAAATTCCATATGTTCATTAGCCTGATGATAATTCTTTATCACCAAAAGTCAATGTGTTATCAACAAAATTTTAGTGTTATCTGACAGTATTTTCACTTTATCTAGAGCAATGGTTCCCAAAGTTGTTCCTACGGACACCCAGGGGTCCTTGATACCACTATGGGGGTCTGTGGCAAATAAAATTTAATTTGGGGGTGCGTGAACATCAGGGGGTCCGTGAAAAGTTTAATATAAAGTAAAATAATTGTGACCCATTTTCATTATTAGAATAGTTAAAAATAAATAGCAATAAATAAATTGGTAGCCATTTTTACATTCTGAGTAAAATATAAGTATATAGATACATAAAATACAAAATACAAGTAATGACAAGCATCTCATGGTGAAAGTCGAGCCAACCGCTGCCGCCTATCTATGCAGATTTGAACAGGAACAGAATCTTGCTGCTACATACAATAACTTGTCTAAAATATGACACTAGACGAATCGTGCATCTAATTGACAATTTAATTCTGTTTTGTGCGTGATGTGAAGCGCATACAACAAATTTCTCTATACAGCTTGACGAGGCAACTTTGCCAGGAAACGAAGATTTGTAATAAGATGAGAATATTTTCCAAGAATTGTTATTTTCCAAATGTTTGGAAACTGATACAAAAGGTAAAACAATATTTAATGAATTAAAAACATTTTTCGATGCAAAAGATATACCCTTGAGTAATATCCTCTCCGTTGCTACTGACTGTGCCCCGGCAATGGTAGGATGACACTGAAGCTTCCTGGCATACTTGAAACAAGCTAAACCGAATATATTTTCTGTACATTATGTCATTTACCAACACTATTAAGTCGCCAAAAACCTTAGTGAACGTTTGCATGGCTCACTAGACTATGTCATTTGGGCAGTTAATAGAATCAAAAGGAATGCCTTAAATGAGAGATTATTTGCTCAACTTTGTTTAGAAAATGATGAAGATTATAATTGTTTATTACTTAACATGGAAGTTTGTTGGTTATCTAAAGGTGCATGTTTGGATCGATTTTATGCACTCTTTGATTCAGTGTTGGAATTCCTGGACAACAAAGACAATGATTTGTGGCTCAATTTAATTAATTCAAAAAATGACATAGCATATATGACTGACTTATTTGCCAAATTTAACAAAACCAATTTGAAGTTACAAGGTGATCAATTAAATTTAATCAAAAGTATAATATGTAAGTATAAAATAAAAGTATAATATCTGCAAAACTTTTTTTATACAAACAAAACTTGGGGAGAGGAGAATGCTCTCAGTTTCCAAATCTTTCAAAATTGCAAAAACGAGATAATGATTTGCTTGTTTATTGTCAACATTTAACGGCTCTTCATTCTGACCTCAGCCAAAGATTTGAGAATATTCTACACTTGGGCATCCCCAATTGGGTGTTGGACCCTTTTGCAAGTAGACCTACAAACTCAGATGAAGCCATACTAATACAGAAGGAACTTATTGAATTATCCACAAATGAGGAGCTAAAACCAATGTTTGAACAAGGATACCACAAATTCTAATTACAAAAACAGATACCAATTTTATATCATGCATTATGGGTACAGAAGCTGTTGACTGCTTTCCCATCTTCCTATTTAGTAGAACGTGGATTAGGACAGTTATGAATCTCATCATGATAAAAAGAAATCGACTGCAAATTAGTACTTGCGTAGACTTACGAATCTTACTCACAAACATTGAGCTGAACATAAATAATCTCATATCATCCCATCAGATTCACTCATATCATTAAAAAATAATGTGCTTTTGTATTTTAAAACAAAATTTATAATTTGAATAAATACTATTTTAAATATAAAAATGTTTTGTTTATATTTTATTTTTACGTTACTATTCACCATCCCAGACATCAAAGTTAAATTTAAAATTTTGCTATAATGTAGTTGTATAGAGTTATTTCACTTGGGGTTAATGGTCAGGTTTTTGCTATGAGAAGGAGTCTGTGGGCATAATAAGTTTGGGAACCACTGATCTAGAGAAAAAGGTTGACTGCAAATAAAATCAACCTTTAATAAATGTTCATGGAATTACAAAGTAAAAATATCTTTGATCAGTTTGACTAATCTTGATTAAAAAACCAGCCACAAAAACCAAAATAATCAGCAGAAAAAAGTGATAGCATGCTAACATTTTCAACCGTGTGATCAGGCATCATCAAGCTAAATGACTGCTGCTGCTAGAACCCCTCCTCCTCTCTTTCTTATATCACCTCCCCTGTTCACATGTGTACCACAATTCCCCATTGTTTTACCAGCTGTAGGGTCATTTAGCCTGTGATGCTCATTCAACACAGGTAAAAAAATTAGTGCTCTATCACCTTTTTCTGCCGTTTATTTTGGTTTTTGTGGCTGTTTTTTTTTATGAAGTTTTCCCAGTTGTGAGTGGTTGTGTTTAAATGATCTTCAAACATTGTTTTATTTTTTTACCTTTATACCTTCAGTTCTATTATTCTATGTCTTTTTATTAAAAACTAACTGTACCCAGCCACATGTTGCTGTAGCTCAAAATGTATCTATTATAAATGAATAACACTCCCCATGGAAAGGAATTTTTCGAAAAATCCCTTCTTGGTGTACATTCTGTTGACATACCCTATTAAAATGCAATGAAAAATGCAAAAAAACCGCATCTAAAATAGTATAATAGAAGCAGAGTTCTTCACATTAAGCCTTAATTTTGTTCCTTTCCCCCGCTTGAGGGGAATTTCGACATTTATATAATATACAAGTTCGGACACATGCACCGCATATTTCGCCGACCACATAACTGTGCCACGCAGTTACCTATCTCATATACATATGCGTCTTGCCCCTCGCTGACACCAAAAATATAAATGCTTACCTAAATGATATTTTTTAATTTATATGAATATTTTAGGAACACATACTGGACTAAATCTTGTATACGTATGCATCTTGCCCCTTGCCACCTGCTGACATCAAAAATATAATGCTTACCTAGATGATATCATTTAATTTATATGAATGTTTAACAGAATAATATACAGCCTATGTTCACCCTAAAGGTCCATTCTAAATATTAGTGAAAAAGTTTTGAAATAGGATGAATAGTTTCAGAGATTACCTCCTACATCCAAACTTACAAACTTTACCTCTTTATAATATTAGTATAGATAAATGAAAATGATCAGTCAAACTGATCAAAAACATTTTTATTTTAATAAATATGTTGCTGGAATTACAAACATTAATTTGATTTACATCTGTGTTTAAGTAGTCAATTTGAAAGTAGATGAAAATTATGAAACACTGAATAATCTTCCAGTTATAACTTGCAATTACCAACTCATTAAATAGTTTTTCTTCTTTTTTCATCAATAAGCTGACACTTTTTGGTGCTTTCTGTTTTCTATATTTGCAGCACTATCTGTTACAATATTTTGTTAAGAAACAACTTTTATATTATTAATAATAACAAAACTGTAAATAGTTTAATTTTGAGGGTAGAGACAACTTTTATATAAAATTATAAATGCTAATAATGAGTAAAATCTTCATAAAGTCAGACTCCACTCAAGTTATGACATGTGGCCCCTTTCTATCTGCTCACTCCTCTATCTATAACCACCAAAATTTAATAGCATCTATGCCCTTTATACACAAACTACTGGACTAAATTTCGTTTCTTAATCATTACCCCCATCCCAAGATATTAAAAAAAAATAAATGCCAACAAACAATTTTTTTTTGTCATTTTTGGATTCAGAAGGTCTCAAAATGTAAAGATTTGCAAAAAACTCAGGATGGTCAAATATGACAATGACAATGTGTTCCCGTGTTATACACATAACAAAGTGGGAAAGTAAAACACTGTTTTTATTTATTATTCATCAGTGAATCCTGTAATCTGTTACAAAGTTATACGTTTATTAAATAAGCTTTCCAAATTTTATAAATTATTAACTTAAAAAAAATTGAAAAATGATAAATAGTGTGGTTTTAAATTATGTTTATCATTTTTTGCCTTGGTTTTCATCATTAAACTGGTTTATTAACACCTGCCCTCAAATTGAAAATGCAAAAGTTAATTGTGAGGGATTTGAAAGGAATTAAAATACTGTACTTCAAAAAAGTTCTGTCAACATCAGATTGTGCGCTCTCAAATTTATGATATTGCGTAACTAATATTTTTAAGACTTCAAAAGTAATGTGAAGTTTTCAACGCACAACAAGAGAAAGACATTATGAATGTCGCAATTTAAGTACTTAAACATTAATTAATGAAGTAACATGTGAAAGTTTACTGTCACAAAAATGTTGTTGCCCATAATAACAGAAAAAGTGAGAAATAGTGATATACCGCCACAATAGTTGTAAAAAAGTGACTAGCTTCCAGTGTTCTGATATGTACTATTATTTATTAGTATTTATTAGTAATTATTTATTTTAAATATTTTTTTCTTAGTTTTATAATATATCATTGTTCGATTTGCAGTCCGAATATTGAACATTAATTGAGCCGTTTATTTTGAAAATGGGGCAAGTCCAATTTTTGTTATTGCGAGATATTTAAAGGTTTGCATTTCAATATATTTAAAAATATTGGTAAGTATTAATAGATATATTTTTAATATTTTGTGGTACCAGATAATGTAAGTTTATAATTCAATAGTGTTTACAGTGCTGACTAAAAAAAATAAGAGTTTCATTATAACTAAATGGACTTGCCTCACTTTCAAAATTAATGAATTATTGTAATCGTTCATTTAATTGGGAATTTTTTCAGTTGCATCAGCCTTTTTTTAATAATAAAAACAAAATACTATTCAAATTTTTATAAATATTTATTCATTTGATAAAAAGTGAAACAAAACAAAGAATATTCTAGTAGAAAATATAACATAACAAAAAAAATTCAGTTTTATTAAGAATTTCAATCAAATTATACATTTTCAGTTTATACGTAGGTATAACTAAATGAATTTTATTCAGGATTTAACATTTTAAAATATTCATGATGAACGGGAGGTATATATGGTAATAAATCCATCATGTCCTTGTATTTTTCAGATGTAATAGATCTCCTTTTTTCATACAGAAAAGATAACTTTATATTTCCGAAATTACTTGGTCTTCCTCGTTGTGGTGACAAATCGATAATTTTAAATTCAGCATCTCGTTCTATCGAAGTTTTGTAGAACATTTTGTATGGTGCATCCCTTGTAAATCTGATCCAGCATATATTTAACCAATTCACGGTTTCTCCATCGGTATTTTTGTTTCTTTTTAAAACTGCTTTCCCCAGAGGTTGGGTTGAAAAAAAATTTTCGCGTTTCATTTCATGTACTAAAAATTTATTATGTTTTCGACAATTTCGTATTAGTTTATAGTAATCCTGGGGAATATACAAGGAACTGGCTTTCCGGATTGCCATTTCTACCACTCCAAAATCACGATCGTTCGGTAAAAATGAATGTCCTGAAAATAAAAATTTGTGATCAATGATATTTATTTCATTGTCACTGGCCTGAACAATTTTCATCCACATTAAGGCCAACTTTATGTTTCCATTTTGGCCAGTGCACACGTAAGCTATAATATGTTTTTGGGTTGTCACAGTCTGTAAGTGCTTCAAACAGCAAGATGCTACTTCTTGTGCTCTTCGGGATAACAAGATGCTACTTCTTGCGTTCTTATAGTTTCATCCCAAACATACATACTAACTTCATCATTATGAAAATTGTGGAAGCCCTGATTCAATACATACATATTCCGCTTATATTTCTCGGTGTTGGAAGTAAACATATTATTATCGAAACACAAAATTAAGATAAACTTTTTGTTATTTATGAAATATTGTACAACCACCGACTTTCAATATCAAAGATAGATAGATAGAAACACCCTAGATTTCAGACATGATGTCAAACGGCCACATTGCTTTACCATACAGCAACTGGAGCTAAATTTTGCCGTAATATATGCGGTCAAAAATAACTTCAATCTAAGATGGACTTGCACCACTTTCAAAATAAACATATTTTCAATACTGTTAAGAGCTAAAACTTCCATCTCCCAAATATTAGAATCTGAATTTTTTTTTACTATAAATTGTTTACACATAAAAAGATTATAACAAGTTTTATCTATAACTACCATTATCTCAATTTTTTTCAAAAATGGACTTGCCCCACTTTCAAAATAAACGGCTCAATTGACTTAATAAAGATCTTAGTATTAGATTGAAAATGTTAGTCAGTTTTGTTTTGTACTGGAGTATTAAGGTATTAAAGGAGATAATTATACTGAAAATTTGTTATAATTATATTTCATACAACTAAAAGATTCTGTCATAGGTTTTTGGGTTAGAGAAAATCTAAAAGTTTTGTTATAATGAGATTTCATTACAAACAAATCTCATCGATCACCACCTATGTTTCTTACTAAATAAAAACTAAATTAATTCTTTAAATTAATATTTAAACTTAAGAAATAAAACATACCAAATGATCTGACAAAACTTGAACTTGGCAATATTTCTTGTAAAGAATTTCCATCTAATTTAAATAAAATAAATAACTATTAAAATTTAATTTTATAGATACTAGAATTAAAATTAATTACAATAAATATAAAATAATTCTAAATCATATATATCTAAGACATGCATTACATGTCTTAGCTAAACACGTCAAGAACATAGAAATGTGTTCAGACAAATCTGTACTCCTGCAATAAAGACATCAGTTACCATTCACTGAAGGTCGTGTTAGTGAGTCATTGTGAAACAGAGTCTGGCAAAAATGTCTGTAAAACAACAACATGCAAGTATCAAATTTTGTGTGTTATTAGGAAAAAAACCCTCTGAGACCTTGAAAATGCTTCAAAACACCTGTCTTGAATCTGCCATGAAGCATTCTCAACTTTATGACTGGCAAGAGCACTTTCATGAGGAACAGATCACTGATGATTTGCAAAATAATAGTCCATCAACATCAATGTCTGAAAAAAGTTTGTATTGGTTGTATGCAAGATTGTGAAGTCAGACAGCAGTCATTAAGCAGATTGCCAAGACTGTGGGAATTTTGGTTGACAGTTGTCATTTCATCCTGCATGATCAATTGAACATGCAGGATGTTTGCCAACACATGGTGCCATGAATGCTCACAGTGGACCTCATGTGATTTCTACCTCTTCCCCTGGTTGAAAGATACCATCAAGGGATGCCACTTCAAAAAATGCAGATGAGGTTACACAGAGTGTGACATCTGTGTTGCAGGTGCTGTCATGAAACGGCTTCCAAAAATATTTTCAGCAGCTATATCATTATTGGCAAAAGTATGTAGTTGCCAAAGGACAATACTTTGAGGTATATGTACTTAATTTGTCAATTGTACACATACTTTTGAGTAATAAACCAATTCCAGGAACTTTTTGAAGCTACCTTGTGTATGTGTGTGAGTTGATATATGAGGTTTCTTGCTGCAGTGTGTAAGGAACCAAGTCCGAGCGTTACTTTTATTTATTTTTATTTTGCTTTTATTATATTTTTGTTTGGTGCTTATGTTTTGTTAGGATGAAGGTTTCCTCACCCGTCACCTTAGAAAGTTAAAAAGAGAAGATAAAACCAACTCACCGACGAAAAAAAGAAAGCGCCATAGCTAACACTCGCACTCACGTGCACGCCCAAGCGTCAGATAGTAAGCCCGCACTGAAAGGGGGGAAGACCCCACAGACTTTTAGGAACTTGTTAAACCTTAAAGGAAACATCCCGATAATTGTTCAACAAAATATTGTAAAAGGTTAACAAAATATTGTCGGGAATTAAGCTACCAGATAAGCAAAGAAAGAAAGATAATGTTATGTGTAAGTATGTAAATGAGGGGAGTGTCTCACTTAGAAACTGTGACGTCACCTCAGACTATAAAAAGCGTACCTCAAGTGAAGATGGCAGAGGTGAGCTCCTGCAAAGAATAAGCGTTGGTGTGCTAGTAGCCGTGAATGAGGTGTCCAATAGGAAATAGTCCAAGGCAATTGCAGTATTCGATTTGTGGATCGGGGTTAGACAGTCTTGAGTTGAGAAAAAGGTTCCTAGTATAATTGAGGTGATGGTTAGGATTTGTAGTTATAAGAAATTTTGTACCTAAGTTAAGGATTGAATTTTTGTCGGAATTCCAAGGGGAATAGTTCCAAGTTAGAATTAGATTGTTTTTGTCGGGTTGCCCGTGGATTTGATTTTATTGAATAAATTTGTTGATTTGTTGTACATATTGTAAATAGTTATTTCTAAATCTTTATTAAACATTTTATTGATTTTTGACTTTGTCCTTAATTGACTTCAGTGCACGCAAAAAGACCAGGCCAGGCAACAATAAACACGAACCTGCGTAAAGTACCCGTTAGGTAATGACTCTTTCTGATATAAGAATTGTTGTAGAGCGATCCGATAAAATAACAGTACTTTACAAGTGTACAGGAATAAAAATATGTGACCACACTATTTAGTAGCTATGCGTGTTTAGTCAAATTATGCAGTCTCAATTTGTTGTGTCATGTCATTGCATAACAATTGGTTAAATACAAATTTATCTGTGTCTTCCTAATAAAACAGCAATCAGTAATTACATTTTTAATGTTGGAAAGTTGCATGCTTATTGAAATTACAGACATTTATTTATTTATTTTTCAAAGAAAAAAAAAGCAATGTCTTATGGACAATAAGCACCTCTCTCAATACAATAAGTAGATAACTTACTCAGTTAAAATCAAAGAATTAAAAGAAAAAAATGCATAAGCAAACATTAAAAACATTAATTATAATAAAATAATTTTTTACAAATGGCTTTATATTTGTGGAGATCTAGGTAAAACTTATCCTCAAGACGTTTGATTGCTTTATAGTGGCAATATATTCAATTGTTCATTGAATAAACCTTAGTTTGTTACAAGTGGGCTAAAATACAGCATTACAAAAAAGAATTTTCAAAATATGTTAGACTGGTGGGGACGCGATCCCACATCCTGAGTTTTGTGTTTGTGTATCTTAGGTGATTTTTTGCAATTTTTTGCAGCATTTATTTGTGAGCCATTCTTTGCTTTACCTGTTAGTCAGATACATGTTGACTCTTGGGAGCTTACTACCTTCATGAGGTGCATCCTGTCAGTAGCTCTAATAGAGTGAAGCTAAAAGTAAGCAGGCTAACAGCCTTTTTCAAGGCTAATTTAACCATGGCCAAAAGGCCGAAACCAAAGGATAGTGAGAGAGAGAGCTCCTTGGAGGACGAGGGCAAACAGATGGAGATGGGTCCCAAAAGGAACCAGTTTAAAGTTGCTGAAATGTACAGGCATGAGTTGAGAAACTACCTAACAAAAAATGGAGGGTCTCATTTAGGCAAATGAGAACACTACAACTATATCATGGGAGTTGTAGAAAATATCATCGATCTCTTCAGGCAAGGAGAAAAGGATGATCTTCATGAACAAATACGCGAAATGAATGCTAAGATTGAAGCTATTGTGCACCCAACAAGTAGACCACTGTACTCATAGGCCATGGCAAACAAGAAGCCACCACCTGCCAAACAGGTAATTTTTATGGAGCCAGAAGCCCAGGGGGACAACCCCAAAATAACTAAGAAGAAACTAAAGGAAAAGATAAACCCAAAGTGTCTGGGTGTAGGAATACAGGCCGTTCGGAAGCTGAAGTAGGGCGGAGTTGCCATAGAGGTAGCCACCATGGAGGAGAAAGTGAAACTAAAAAAAGAAATAGAAAATGCAGGTTTAAAAACATTTGAACCCGTCAAACAAAAGCCAAGAATTATTATATATGGGGTCCTGAAAGAGTATACGAAGAAAGTAGTGGATAGTTTATTCCATCAAAGTGAAGCTATAACAGAAGTTAACAAGGATATTGAGAAATATAGAGCAAAAGTTATCGCAAAATTCCCGTTAGGAGGAAGAAACAAGCCAAGGACAAACTGGGTACTGGAAATGAGCCCAATATATAGAAACATTTAAAATAGATTAAAGAAAGTAAACATCCAATGGATAAGATGTGGAGTCAGTCGACGACTTTGTGTCTGTAATATAGTGTTTTAAGTGCTGCTGCCTCAGACATTTTGCTAAAGAGTGCCCTGAGGCCAAACGGATGTGTAGCCAATGTGGCCAAGATCACACCTTCAAAGAATGCCCAAATAGAAAGACTATCAAAGAATGTGTCACTGTAAACGTGAGAAAGCCACAAACTACAATCACAACTCGTGACAAAAGCTGCCCAGTTATTCAGAGAATAAAAAAAATGATAATGACCAAAATTGATTATGGCCAATTGCCAAACAAAAGATATTGAAAGTAAAATTAGAATATTACAGGTTAATCTACAAAAATCCAAAGCAGCCATGGCAGCATTATGTAAAGCTATTGAAAGCGTAGATGTTGCAATTACTCAAGAGCCTTATTGCATTAGGGGTTCTATCGGTTGCCTTAGAAAGCAGCATGTCCAACTGCATGAATCCTCACCACTAGCAGCAATAGTGGCTAGGAATAATAGGATCCCAATTTTCTACCACGGAAACCTCAGCACCAGAAATGTGGCATGCGCGACAGTGAGCACTGGGTTGAATATGTACATACTAGTCAGTGTATATTGTCAGATAACTGAGGACCTAGAAGAGATACTGGCCCCACTGGACCAAATTATTGACTGGTTTGGAGGTGAAAAGATAGTAATTGGTGGAGACAAATGCCCACTCTCAATGCTGGGGTAATCCCAAAGACGACAGCTGGGCAGATGAGTTCTTACAATTTGTGAATACCAAAGGACTTCACGTTCTCAATGACCTGGGGTCTCTCCCGACATTCAATACCCCAATAAGAGAAAGTTGGACAGACGTAACTTGCTGTAACAGCAGGTCACTTAGGGCAGTAACAGAATGGAAAGTCTCAGTGCACGCCAGCCTGAGCAATCATGCATACATCTATTTCAGGCTGGGGACTACTGGACCAGCAGAAGACAGTGCACTTAAATACGATTTAAAGAGGGCTGACTGGGCTACCCTGGAAACCAAATTAAAGAGTAAGGTAGCTCCTTTCCTGAAAGGTTTTAAGGATATAAAGGAACGATATCGTTTATCTGAAAGGTAGTAAGCCTTTCAGATAAACGATATCGAAAAAGCAGTGTTGCTAATCAACATGTCACCTCCTTTATAAATGCCTTAGAAGAGGCATGCAATGACACCATCCCAAGGTAACATAAAAGAGACAGGGTCATGCCTTGGTGGACCCCTGGGCTTTCGGCAGTAAGGAGCGAGAATAATCGTCTAAGACAGCGATACCAAAGGGAGAAGAATCAAATTGAACAGTAAAGGAAATATGAACAATACCAAGATCATGAAGATGAAAAAGCTATTAAAGATATTAAGTTATCTTTGTGGAAGGATTTCTGCATTGATAGCTCAGAAAAGCCCTGGAGCTATCTATACAAAAGCTGCATGGAGAAATTAAAAACCTCATCCCTTAAGAAGTCTTAGGACAACAGATGGCTCTATGATGGATGCAGAGAGCACAATAAGTGTACTGATGGACCGCATCTTCCCATCAGACAATCCAGAACTTGACAATTAGACACAGAGAGATAAAAAAAAAAACTAATAGAGCATGAGTATCAGACAGTAGATGCACCTAGGTTCACACATGCGGAAGTAGAGAATGGAATACGACATTTGGAACAGGGCAAGGTCCCTGGTATTGATGATCTGACAAGTGAAATTATCCAACAGATATGGATGATAATACCTGATGTCATTGTCAGGCTTTATAATACATGCCTGGATCACGGGGTTTTCCCAGATTGCTGGAAACAGGCAAAGCTTGTAATCATATCTAAAGGTCCCAGAAAAGACAAAGAAGATGAGAGGAGCTATAGGCCCATTAGCCTACTTTCCATAATGGGTAAAATCCTGGATTATCTAATTGTGCAAAGACTCGGAAACATACCAAGTTGTCTGGGAAAAGATGTTGAGCCCAAACAATTCGAATTTTTGCCGGAAAGTCTACTGAGAACGCTATCTGCTCAGTAATAAATGATGTAAAGAATACTGTTAACAACTTCAAGTATTGTTGCATCATAAGTCTGGACATAAGAGGGGCGTTCGAACACACTTGGTGAGCCCAGATCCTCTTAAATTTACAGCAATGGCATTGCCCAAGAAATCTGTATTACCTCATGAAGGCATACTTCACTAACAGGAACATCAGCTATACTTATGGGAGCCTATGTATTACTCGGGAAATCAACGAAGATGCCCCCAGGGGTCCAACTCGGGCCCCTTCTTTTGGAATGTCTTGTATAATAGCTACCCGCTGACGTGCATATATCTTTCTTATCTCCCCTCTCCTGACTGTTATATATCAACCCTTTTATTTACATTAAAATAAAAGATTAGATATCAAATTTTCTCATTTTGGCCCCCCATTATGCAAAATATCATATTACAGCAGGCAGTTAACATGTTAAAATTGTACAGACTATGAATTACCTGAGAGTCATACTTGATAAAATCTTGAATTGGGGTGAACATATAAATATTATTAAAAACAGAGGGGATATTATCTTTAATAATTTGGCAAGAGTGGCAAAGGCTGACTGGGGGTTGGGCTCAGAGGTTGTTAAAGAGATTTATAAAGCAGTGTTTATACCGAAACTCACCTATGCGGCTGCCACATGGCACATTTCTGCCGACAAGATTCAGAACAAACGGACATTACTAACAGCTCAGAGACATGCAGCTCTGCGAATGGCCAAAGCTTTCTGCACTGTTTCCACCAAAGCCCTTCTGGTCATACGCGGCATCATGCCCATCGACTTTGTGATTCATGAGAAGGCCCAAAAATATCTGGTCAGGAAAGGACAGACAATAAGAGTAGGCAACATAGATTTTAAGGTTGGTACTTATAACACCAAGCTGGCCATTACAGATCTTCTAAGTCCACCTAAACAGATATTTATTACAGAAGGGACAGACAATGACCAAAAGACCTTTGATATATATACAGACAGGTCGAAGAGTGAGGAAAGCGTAGGGGTGGCCTTCGTTGTAAACAAAGATGGAGAGGAAGTGGACTACAGACAGTATAATAGATGTTCTATCTTCCAGGCCGAACTATTGGCATTAAGAGAAGCTGTCAGGTATTATAGTCACAAATTGAAGGAAGAAAACATTTGGTATACACAGACAGTAGAAGTGCCTTAGATGCACTCAAAAAATTTAAAAATTACAATAGGCTTACAGTGGACATTAAAAACATCATTAAAGAGTGTAGTGGCAGAGGGACTATATAATTTAAATGGGTCAAGGCCCATGTTGGAGTAGAAAGTAATGAGAGGGCAGATATGCTTGCCAAAAAGTGAACAGTAAAGAGACAATAGACTTTAATGAACTGCCTGCTGTGTACATCAAACAGGAAATTATGGAAGGAATGATTAAGAGGTGGCAAATTACGTGGAATGAATCACCCAAAGGTACACACACCTACATCATACTGTCAAACATCAAAGAGAGATTGGCAGAATTACAATGGATGCACATAGACTTCATTATGTCTCTCAAGTGTCTCTGGGCACACAAAATGCATTGCTTATTTTCGTAAGACAAACAAAAGCCCCCACCAGGAGTGTGAATGTGGCAGAGATCATCAAACGATTGATCATCTAATGTTTGAATGTGACAAGTATGCCGTCCTACGGCATGAGCTAGAATGCTTGAACTTTAAGGACAAACCAACACTACATTTGACTTACAGTCGACCCCCGTATAAGATCATTGATTATTCCGTTTTATATGAATTCCATGTTGTACGAGTCACTTAGATTTTACAAATACGTGTACCGGGCTGTGAACAGCTCACGTATTTGTAAAATTTAAGTGACTTGTACAACATGAAATTCATATAAAACGGAATAATCAATGATCTTATACGGGGGTCGACTGTATTTAACTTAACCCGGACTAAGTCAATATACCAAGAATTATGAAGGCTCACCAAATCCATTTTCAATCGGACCTAAGGAGGCACATGAAATAAGTCTCCCCGGTCTTTAGGGTGGCAAATGGCCACCACTAGTTTATGTGCAACGAGGGAACACACCAATGTAACACTCTGTACTGTACTTTCTTCTGTTTTACAAGTCTCTATTTGTTGTAAATTTCTATGATTAGTAGTAATAAAAATTAAGAAGCCTTCTGCATTGCTGTGCAGAACAGAGGGATATTCTGAACCCCAAAAAAGAAAATGATGATTTTTCCTAATGAAAAAAAAAAAATGTTAGATTGGGTGATAAACTTGCATAATATAACTTTTCTAAATATAAATCAAACACTATAATAATATAATATATAATAGAAAGGTTAGAAGTACAAAATAACCTAATAATCTTAATCTTTGTTGTTTTGCCCAAGCAACACTGAGGTCATCTGCTAATTACCTTATATCTCTGTCAGTGATGTACAGTACAAGGGATATATTTAAAGTAAGTTTCTTTTTTCAATAAAAAAATAAAGTATTAAGCATTAGGAATAACTTATTTTTTCTCAGATTCTAGATACTTTTAGCTACTTTTCTACACAGGTTCTGTTGTTGTTAAAACATTTATCATAGCATGAGACCAGTTTCTGTACACCAGTGACATAAAAGTGTGCTGTCTAATAGAATAACCATTCCTGGGTCAAAAGCACAATTTCCTGTAGTCCAAGTTTTCTGACAATTTTATAAATAACTGACTGTAAATTGATGGGAAATCAACTGATAGGATGGAAATAATGAATTGTTGGTTTCCACAAATTATAGTGTATACCACATGAACAAGATTGTTGATGATTACAGATGGCTGACTCAAGCATGGTTCATCATACACATTCTGTTGATCTTCCTTAAAGTCTTACCCACTTATAAACTTTGCTATCAGTCATACATTCATACCATAAACTTCACAGATTTGGTACTGTATCTCTTTCACATTTCTTGTGGCCAGGAAGCAAATAATGGACCTTATTTTACAGGAGGTGGGCTGCTTGACCTTCTTAAACATTTCCATCACATAACACAAAGAGCACAGACTGCTGACATCATTCAAAACGACATCCGTGTGCAAAGGATGCCAAAAGTCATTGCACATGTGCAAAATTACAAATGTGTATGTTTTAAAGATATTGCCAAACAAATCTTACTTAAAAAATATCCTCGTATATGCTGTTTTTGACCACTTAAAATTATGAAAGTGCCAAATAAATGGTACCTTTAAATAACTTCCCATATTTTGCATCAAAACTACTCCATGTGATTTTTGCAGTCCTCCAGATTTCCACAGTTGTTACAAACGTAACAGGTGATGCTCTAATGCTGCAAGGTTAGATAAATATGGTGGTCAAAGTAAAACATCCCCAGCACATTCCAATCATCTTTTTATATTTTCAGAACAAACTTATGGTATGGTTTAATGGTGAATAACAATGTTCTTCCTCTTGACAAATTCTGGATATTTCTCAATTATTGCTGTCTTTAATCAGTTCAGTTGTAAACAGTACTTATCAGAATGAATTTATTGGTTTGATGGGGAAAAAAAAGCACACAGTACACAATTCCCTCCCAGTCAGAAATCAAATCCAATAACTTCTTTTCAGGCAAATTGTGTGAAATCATAGTGATTCACATAATCAAACTCTTAAATGGTCAAATACACTACTATATTATTTGATGAGTTCACTATTTCTGCTATTTTCCATATTGTGTAAAAAGGTTATTTCCAATAAAAGTTTAAATCTGGTTATCTTCATTGATGCCAAGTCTTCAAACGTGAAGCATCTTCTAGGTTAAAATCACCATCTTTGAATTTAACAAGCCACTTCCAACAGCACATATTTAATTTGTTGCTTGTACAGGTTTTTGCCTTTCTGGAAACAGGAAAACATCAATTGTCAATAATGCACCTTGTTTGTTTTCATTTAAACAAAGATGCATATTAAATGTAATTTGAAAAATCCTAATAAACATTTTTGTAACATATGCATCTCAATGTCATATTTCATTATATGCACAGATGTCATACACTTAATAGCTATAACATCCTCCAGTGTGTTCAATTGTCATTCACTAAAATTGCAATAAATTTTCAGAATAACCCAATATATCATTAAAAATGCTTTCAATCAGCTAAAGAACTTGAGAAATGTGTGTGTGTGAGCAAGATCAGACACCGACATTATCAAGATGAATATGAAATAAGATATATTAAGTTCCAGGTAACTATATAATATTGGAAAGCTGCTATATCATATTTTACAAGACATTCATAAATTCTGCTTTACAACAATTACAAAAGCAACTTAAAATCTTACCTGAATTTTCTTGACGTACATTTTTCTTCTTCTTCTTTTGCATCTTTTCCTCTGGTGTATTTTTTACTTCAGAATGTACACCTTCAAATAAACCCAAATAATATGCAATTTAAATACACAAATTAAAAAATTAAATAAATATTTTATTCAAATTTATTTATTACTACAGTTTTTCACAAATAAGAGCATGCTGTGATATAAAAATTGTTTGTTTTTCATATTTTTGAAACACACAGCTTATTCAACACACCTGATGTACACATTTAGATTATTCGCAATCAAAAGGAGCTAGGAATGTTAAATTGTGATATAACAGATTAATAATAAACGATATGGTATTTGTAATTACAAACATGAAGTTTTTCAGACAGATGGAGAACAATCATTTTTAGTATATAGTTTACAATGATAAACAACATGATGACAAAGTACTAGGATGACGAATTTAAAGTCCATAACACAGATAATAACAATATGAAACTTTGATTTTATATCATCACAGGTTTAAATAATAAATATTGCTTCCCTAATTTCTGGAATCTGATATATAAAATGGATGTGTTCTCTTTGGTAAAAACATGGCATATCCTTCTGTAATTGAATCAATGTTTTCTGATCATTATAAAATTTATCATCATGTAGTGTATAACCGTGAGAATCCTGGAAGACCCAGTGGATGATTAATTGTTCAGCTTAGATTAGACCAGTGTTTTTCAACCTTCTTGAATATGCGACCCCTTTACAAATAAAAAAATTCTGGTGACCCCCACAGCCATATTAAAACTATGTTAGTGATTTTAAAAACTACCATACATACAGTTGACCCCCTGTAACACGGTAGATACATTCCTGTTTTTATGAATCCAGCTTCTAGGAATCCAGCCAATCACAGCCCGGCACATATGCAGTTTACGGACTATGGCTTTTTCAAAGGTTTCTTCCATAAAATTAATCTATTCTAGACTAATTCGACTCAACATTTCCAAAATACCTATAATTTTTTGGGAATAATCCATATAAACCATGCTATAAACAAAAAATTGTAGGATTACTTACCGAGTGTGCATCATTCGACTACACCGTTGCTTAAGCTTGTTTTCGTCATAGAGATTGTCATCGAATGGCGCTCGCATGCTTCCTAATAAATTATTTTTTTTTTTGCGAAAAATTTGCTGAACTTTAGAGAGATCATTAATATAAATATAATTTTTATGGACATTAAATAATAAATGGTTTTTGGTAGATCCGCTGCTCGTTTAAACTCAATGGTTTGTGCAATCCTGTCGTGACACGAGTCGACGATGACGTTTTACTGAATTATAGGCATTTGTTTAGCATGTTTGTACAAATACTGTCGCAATTTTTTTGCCGTGATATAGGAATATGAATTATAGAAACTGTTGTTATAGGGGGTCGACTGTACTTAATTTTCTTTCTGTTGAGATTTAAATATCGATCAAAAAACTAATTGTACTGTAAAATAAACAGGCAAAGCCTTCTCACCGAAAGTGTAGTTTTTTTATTGTAGTGTAGGACTAAAAGAATGGGTCGCGAATAAAAGAAAATGACAAGTGTTTGTAGAAACACTTGTCTTTTTCTTTTACCCGCAACCCTCCATGTATGGCTTTGCAACCCACCTGGGGGTTGCGACCCACAGGTTGAAAAACACTGGATTAGACTATCTCTCAGACATTGAGCTGATACTTCAACATGATTTGTGCAGATTTTACAACTAAATACTAAAGAGTTAACCAATATCTAGCTAATAGGGTCATATATTCAACCTAACAATAATTATGATGATGTATTCAAGAATACTTTGTTGCTTATAGAAAACTACTAGTTACATGAAACTAACCTGATCTTATGCACAGATTTTAATGACAAATAGGACATTTTAATTATTTGTCATGTTTCACTGCTGACTGGCAAATTGCTTAGAGTTTCAAAAGATACTATTGTTAATTAGAGAGAGAAAATTCTCAATAATTTTCTGAAAATAATAATCTTGTTTGCTTAAATATTTTATTTCCAGGAGATGAAGGTAATTTCACCTACCATGCAACTAAAAAAGGAAATGTAATTGATTTTATGATAGTGTCAGAAAAAACATTTTTTCATATTATAAATGGTTTGTGTGTTTTATCAGAGATAGGTTCTAATCACTCACCTGTCTTACTATCAATAATCTCCTTGGTATTATTTAGAGCAGGGGTTGCCAAAGTGGTCTATACTGACCCTCAGGGGTCGATATAACATTATTGGGGGGTCGATGAAAAGACTAAAACTTACAAATTTTGAACCGAATATTGCTAAACTTGCTAAGGATTATCAAGCTTATCTGTCTCATTGATTGTCAGTTACAAATATTATTATTAACATATGTACAATAAATGTAAAAAATGTAAAATTAAAAAATATATATTTAAATACTAAAACAGTAAGAGCTTTTTTTTTGCTTGTAACATAAACTTTTTGGTGGGGTCAATGTGAAGTTTCGAAAAGTTGTAAGGGGAAGTCAATGATCAAAAAAGTTTGGCAACCCCTGATCTAGAGTTTTTAATAGACAATTTTTTGGTAAGCATATATGGAGAGATGAATTTAAATGAATAAATATTCAAGGAAAAATCCAACCATCTAAGCTGGGAATAGGGGTCGAGCTCATATGGCGCATTGGCTCTGGTGGGGTAGCTATTGACCTAAACAATAAGCAAACCATTGAAAAGTTAGAAAAAACCATTCAGGATAATATCCCAGAACTACAAACAAGGCGTCCAAAAAAGAGGAATCCGCATATGATTGTTTATTCAGTGTCTAAACAAATAACTTGTGAAAACCTGACCAAAATGTTATATGAGCAAAATAGCATATTAAATAAAAATTACAGTAAAGAGGAACTCAACGAACATTTGAAAATTAAATTCAATGTAGGGAAACGCGAAGGCCAATATAGTACACCCTCCTATAACACTGTAGAACATTCCGTGTTACATGAATTCCATGTTGTACGAGTCACTTAGATTTTACAAATACGTGAGCCATTCACAGCCCGGCACACGTATTTGTAAAATCTAAGTGACTCGTACAACATGGAATTATCTAGTGTTATAGAGGGCTCTACTGTATTGCAACTAAGTCATAGAGATTACTCCTCTACTAAGACGACAGCTTCTGGCCATCGGAAAATTAAAAATAGAGTGATCTCGGTGCAGAGTGGCAGACTTTGTTCCCATACTTCAATGCTACCGGTGTTGCAAATTCGGGCACACAACTAAAAGTTGCACGCAAGATACCTCCACCTGCAGCCACTGTGCAGGTGACCACAGTTACAAAGAATGCCCAAATCGGAACAGCAGCCCCACATGTACTAATTGTCACAATGAAAAAGCCAATTCATTCCTATCCATCCTCCACAGATGCCTTATTTCCTGGGCAAGTTCTGTGTACTTCCTAATTTTTTCAGAGCATTTGTTTTGTACATTGTGAGTGTTTGGAATTGCTATGTCTATAATGTATGTGATTTTATTCTGTTTGTCAATGAGTGTGATTACTGGTCTGTTGTGGTAAATTGTTTTATCTGTGACTATAACTCTGTCGTAGTACATTTTGTGCATGTTGTTTTCCAATACTGTCTGTGGAATATACTTGTAGTATGGTTCATGAATGTTTACCAGTTTGTGTTTCTTTGCAAGCTCTTGGTGTATTATATTTGCTACTTGATTGTGTCTATGTAAGTAATCTGTCTGTGCTAAGAGCTTGCACCCAGAAGTGATGTGTTGTATAGTTTCTGGCATGATGTGACATTTTCTGCATGTGTCATTTGTGAGTGTTGTATCTTTGAGTATGTGTTTTCTGTAGTTTTTAGTATTTATGACCTGATCCTGTATGGCAATCATGAATCCTTCCATCTCCCCAAAGAGGCATCCCCGATCTAACCAGCTGTTTGACGCAGTTTTGTCAACAAAATCCTGCACCAGGTCATAAGGATGCCTGCCGTGGAGTGCCTTTCGAGCCCACGATTGCTTGATGGTGTCTATGCTTTTTACGTGTTATGTCATGTCTGTATGATGTGAGTGTAAGTTTAATGGTGTGCTATTTGAGTCTGCTAGAGTTACTGCTTTATGTAATTGTGATGTTTCTTGTTTCCTGTAGAAAAACTCTCACAGTGACTGTATTTGTTTGTAGTGAAGGTTAACTATGTCAATCAGGCCACATCTGCCATCTTTACGTGGAAGGGTTAATCTTTCTGTGGCGGATTTAGGATGATGTTGTTTATGCTTTGTAAGTGTTGTTCTTGTTTTCCTTTGGAGTTGCTTGAGATCTGTGTGAGTCCAATGTATAACTCCAAAAGAGTATGTGAGAACTGGGACGACATATGTGTTTATTGCTTTAACTGTGTGTTTTGCATTTAGCTATGTTTTGAGAATGGCATTTAACCTACTTTGGTATTCTTTAATTAATCTTTGCTTTATTTGTGTATGTTCTGTTAGTTTGGCCTGTTGGAATCCTAAACTCGCCCTCTTCCATGGATTCAATAATGTCTCAATAACCAAGTGCAAAATCTTCTTTCTTCAGGATTCCTTTTTCTATGTGTTTTCTATGTGATTTGTCTAGGCCAAACTCCATTTGTATG